TATATACATAAAGTTAGCGTTTGGTTTCCGAATTGGGTATTGGTTTTTGGTTGGTTTCTGTATGTTCTGTACAATCCACTTTTAATATACCACTAAGTTTCCTGTCTTGTGGGACGGCGTTTGTTCGCTACGGTGTAGGAACGGCACGGGGCGAAGTCGGTCAAAGAGATTAAAACATTCATCACACAACTTCCGGGTTTGCAAGCCGAGCACCAGTCATTGAGGATACACACGAATATAGCAGGTGAGGGGTGGTAAAGAATTGCGCATTGTTCAGTATGTGTACATATACATAATTGTTCGCTGTTTAGGAAGGAGTATAGTATAGCTCCTCTGAAACCGGCTCAATGTCGCTAGCGGTCAGCAAATCAAAGGTCAAGTTGGGTTTCGAAGCCAAGAATTTGTAGCACTCGAATTATCAAAGTAGCAGTAATACATGATAGGTATATTTACGGTAAGAGTGAGGCGTAATTAAAACATCCATGCACATTGCGAATCTATATATACAGCCGCGGAAGGCTTCATCAAAATATGACAGAATATTTGCCTTGTCACCCTAAACTAAACCACCTCCACATATCTATCAGTTCGACCCCCTTTCAGAACACTGACTACTTCACTATGTTTGACTCATCTTCCCATCCCATCGTCTGCTTGCAGAACATATTATGGGCAAAACAAACGACCAAAAGTTCCTGAGTTGCCTGGAACAAGAGCAAAGTAAGTGACGACATGAGGTGGTGCAGACGTGTTTCGCTGTGTATTATTTCTTCTGACATGGATTGATGCTACGTGTTTGGATCTTTGGGCTCTTTATATAATTTGTATCGCATTTTTGGGATCGTATAGAAAATACTATCCGATGCGTGTGCGCGCGAGTTTGCGCGTGTGTGTGAGAGAGAGAGAGTATGTGTGTGTATGTGTGTGTATTCAAGGTTTCAGAATCAATGCTTTTGCACACACGCACATTCCACGTTTCAGCCGAAAGGTCTGTTGACATTGATTTGTCAATTCTGGTCTCACTTTGCAGTGTTCATCAGCGGCGTGGAGACTCACGCGGCGTCGTCCTATATAGAAGACTGCATCAACAGGACCCATCCACTGTCCAAAGTATCTCTCTACTATCTCCTTAGTTCTTCTGTGCACTACCTGCGTACACAGGAAGGGCCTGCACGTACATACAAGATGTTGAATATACTTGCACTACATCTTTTGCACAGCAGTGACCTAGGCGATTATGCATAGGCACATACTCCATATCTGCAATACCTTCGTTGTGGCCGTTGCCTGTATTTCGCTGGTTTCAAGTTACCTTCAACATTAGGAGTGGATTTTTTATCAGCGGTGTGCAACCATGGACCCCGAATTAATCCTGCCTGTCATCGAAAGCTTTTTTGTTGAATATCCTGTGTGCTTTCATCGAATTGTGCTCGATTATAGATTGCGTTTCATGAAACTCCTCATTGAAGCGGCAGTAGTACCCATTGGGGTTGGACTAGCTCCTGCTTCTGGCAGCTGCTACCTACAGTCCGCAAAGTTTGGCCCACTCTCATCTCTAAGTGCTTTGGCGTGCTCAGGTGTTGCGGTTGATGTGTTTGCAGTCGTTGATCAACGGCGGCTTGAAGTCCAAAGTGTTAGAGCACTACCGGAAAGAAATCATACAGGTACACTCAACTGATTTGTAGTTAAAAGTGACTGAGAGTAGTTTTATCTGCATGCACCTTGTAGTTCAGGCGTGGTATGCTCTGAGAAACCTACACGCACAGGCGCATTGACGCTCTGTAAAAGGACTGGGGAAATACCGTAACTTGACTATTTAAGTATCCTGCTACTACGGGAAGAGCCTTCCTAGGCATGTTGATTGTCTCGTGCTTTATCTGGAAATCATAAGTCATAACCTGGAGTTTAAGGTTGGTACTGTGTATGTTCAGCGCTATTGTAGAGTTCATTCTGCCGGATGCTGCATATATCTGAATACATTCTATGTTTTTACCATACGCCCATGTCATATTTTATTTCAGAATACTTTGCTTCGGCACAGGTCAGCATTCACACACGTACAACTACATGCATCAAATCTCATATTTTCGGGTATTTTCCCGTTTGCATCGCATATCAAGATATTTGTGTATGTGTGAATGATTGCAACCAGCCGCTTACTCACACCTACACACACACCCACACAGACATATGGCTTTGAACATTTAGAAACGATATACAATCTGGAGAAAGTGGGGCTGCTGTCCTCCACTACCGACGGTTTTAAATACGCGAATGTACAAAATCTGCTGCGGTTAGTAGTCGATGAGGTGGACGAGGTATAATACTACTATTCTGTTTATGTTGTATTGTATGTATAGTACTATTTTTCTATTTATGCTGTATTGGAGATATGATAATACTTTTCTATTTATGTTGTACTTGCGATATAGTACTACTTTCCTGTTTATGTTGTAATGGAGGTGTAGTACTACTTTTCTATTTATGTTGTAATGGAGTTTTAGCAGACACTTTTGATGGGCTTTCGTTCTTCGGTGTTTCAAACCAACTTGAATTGGGAAAAATAGAACCATACTTCACTGCCTCAGCGCATCAAAAGTTTTGTTCAAACATACGACTTGTAAAAGAGACCCGCACAGAATGTTGCAAGATGGTGCACAGCCATAATTTGACAATCTGGTACATTTGTGCACAGTCCCAATCAGACAATATCGGGCTCATTTGTGCAGCCCCAATTCCACAATATCAGTTTTCATTTGTGCACAGCCTCAATTTGACAATCAGGTTCATTTGTGCGCAGGCCCAATCTGACAATATCATGTCTTTCGCTGTGTTTCTTTGAACGATCCACAGTTGGCGTGTTGCGTGCTGTTGGACTCCTGTGTTACCTTGCCTTGCTTCTGCCTACGAGATAGACGAGCTATGAATTCGTTTATATCCCGCGCAGATATGCCCACGTATGATGAACAACTCTCACACACTTGATGTAACTTATCCACCCACTCCTATTGGGCAGCTCAATCCGGAAGATATTGCGTACGTATACAGTGGATATGCACCGTTGTCCGTGCGGCTGATAGAAACATTGTCCTCGCCACCACCTATGCCCAGGTACGTATACGTAAAGGGCCTGTCCTCTGTTTGGGGAGGGCACCCATGGTTAGTGCAGATGTGTGTGTTGATTCGTTTGTCGTGATTGGAACTTATAACCGGTGTTTGCACACGCCCGGTCCGCAGACATGCTCGGCGGGTACGGATGTGACCGAGAATTCATCTTCATATAAATGGACAGATAAACTTTCCCTGGGTATTGTGAAATCTCGCGTGTGTGATCACAAATCAATGTATGGCTTGTATCAAAGCGCTTAGTTTCTTAGCTATGCTTGTGCTTCTCATTAAATGCCGATGTGGTCATGCTATCCACCCATTTGGTACTGTGGGTCAAATGCACAAGATATGAGTGCCTTTGTGATATTGTGCATGCAACTCATTGTTCCGCAAAATACGCCGCCCACTTTCAGGAACATTGAAGTCGCTATGAGGGACCTCCCTGGGCCCCACTTCGAACACGATAACACCACAAGAATCATACCAGGACAATACAGAGGTGAGCCAACAACGCCTGCGAGGCACATGCACGGTCTGCTTTCTAATACTGCTACTTGTAACGTGATATTTTCAGATGCAGATGACATATGTTAGTTTCAATCACTATATTGCGTGAAGCGTACATGATCCGGCAGCAAACTGGATCGCATTGGCATTGAAGTCTTACTGTGCTATCCTTATCCCGTGGTATTCTGAATCTGACTGCAGCCCCAGCATAGTTCGTCAATCTGGCGTGTCGCCTATAACACTCGAGGAAATTGCCTCCTTATTCTCCATTAGAGCTCCAAAATCAGCGCAATCACAAACGCGGCATCAATCACCTCTCACGCAGCATCAATCACCTCTCACGCAGCATCAATCACCTCTCACGCAGCATCAATCACCTCTCACGCGGCATCAATCACCTCTCACGCAGCCAAAATATGGATACCTAACTAACTGCTTGGTGGCCGCAAGCCAACCATCACAACCGACACGTAGCCTTCATATGCACACACTAAAGCAGCAAAGTATCACCTACACACTTTCTGGTCCAACCTAAAGGCTCGTACACACTCCACATAAAACAGCACCGACGATAAGGGTTGGCGGACAACCAGGAAATGAAGGCGCGAAGAAGAAAGTGATTCTCGTTTACTTCTTGGGAGGCGTGACTTACGCGGAGGTTGCGGCAATCCGGTTTCTCGCCAAGAAATCTGAAGGTATGATATAGCGATACCCTCTGAAGCATACGAACAGGTGTTCGTAATCTCACCCTTGTATATATTGATATGTATTTGTTTGCGCACTTACGGAGGTGTTGAAATACGCTTACGTGTTGTCACCTAGCTATAGGCGTCGGATCAGGCCCCAAGTATCTGAGCCTTTGCAGACATTTATGCCATCGTTTGTGGCTCGTTTGAGTTCTGACGCATCCGGAGATAGCGAATTCGTAGATATTGTTTCATGTTCATGCAATTTATATGCCTGTTTGTTTATAGTTTCTCTACCTAGATGTCGAATACTGACTGTTACGTACAAATTAGCAACTGTTTAGGCACTAAGGTCTGTGTGCCTATGTGTGAGTGCGGATTAATTATTGGATTTTAGAGACGTGTGCGAGGCCAGTGCAGGATGCCATAGTATGAACGGGATGCCTTTAATCCGCGGATCCCTTTGTGCTTGTTTCTTTTATCTTGGTGATTGAGTGCTGGTGGTACTGGGACTCGAGGAAAGTGCGGATTGCCCCGAATGAGATAAACTATTCGCTGGGTGTAGTGAACACAAGCTATTCAGATTGATTTGCGTCTTCATCTGTGATACATGGGGGGGGGCATTTCGTGTTTTATGTACAATTCTCGCTGCTTTATCTTGTGTGATAATTTTGTCCCAAGTTTGTATCAGTTCTTGTGCTAGTTATATGTGCCTGTGTGAGTGTAATCGATACTTGTGCTGTTCTTCATCTACGCAGTATTATGTACGCTTACTGAATACAATACCGCATACACCAATTCAAAGTTAACGTGTTCGTACAACCGGTTGAATTTCAGGACAGAAAGAGTATATCATCGCGACCACCAATATGATGAAGGCCGAGAGCTTCCTGTCGCCTCTCTTCAATCCCTTGCCAATCCCGCCAAAGGGATCTCGGTAGCCCACAATACCTCCAGTAGCGTGCGTATACCAAAGATAGAATCTGGACCAGCAATGTTAATAAATAGTGGACTGGTTTCCGCTAATGTGCGTCCCTGTATTGATAAGAGAGAGGGATGAGAAATTTCCAACTCAAGATATATGCTTCCGTTGTCGTGGAGAAACATACTGTGATATATAAACAGATGAAAGGTGATTTATTTTAATGAAACAATTCTTCGCACATGAGTTTGACGTCACTGTTTAAACGCCTTGTGTGGTATTACATACAGTTTGTCGTAAACTTGGTCCTAATTATACTGCTCGCTTAAAGCCCACCTGACTATCTTAGTTTTTAATGGGCAACTGAGACTCCATAGCTGCATGCTGTGTACTGAGAAATGCGCAGGTCCATTGCAGCCACTTCCTAGAACGCCTAGTGGCAGGAGTAAGCCGCCTGGAGAAAATACCGCTGAAGCTTATCACCTCTATACTCAGATAACAAACTAATCTACAGACCTGCAATATATTATCGTATCTTTACTGTGTGATTGACAGTTCTTACATATAGCATCTAGCATCGAACACGAAATCCACCTCTTTCCTACTCAAATACGCGTCTTTACTATAAAAACCGATGCGTGACGTCCTACTGAGTAGTTTGTACACTACAGATGCATTGGCTATCGTCGGACTCGTCTCACGACAACGCCAAGCACAAGACTGCGCATAAAGATAGCGAATTAATTGCTGAGCAGATAGTCAGTGACAACAGTATAGGCACAACAGAGCCACGAATATGGTCGGCTATCCTCTGGAAGAACAAAATGCAAGCAAACGCATCACTGAGGCTGGAAAGTATGCTCAGTCAAGCTATATATTACTCGTTGTAATAGCCTGCTCAATAGGATATTCTAAACATGTGTGCAGGAGCAGTGACCCAGAGCTTACTTTTTAGCAAGCAGATCGCACACGAAAGTCAGAATATGACAATTGCTTACACACGACAGTGACACGAAAGTCACACAAAAGATACACGAAATTCCGTCTACGCGAAAGTCTACACGTAATTCGAAAGGCCGCAGACTTTGCATTTGCCGGCTCGGTACAGTGTGGTACAGTTCTATACTTCCGCTTGTGCGTTGTCAAGGTGACCACCCACTGGACGAAACTTGGCACGATTATGATGAGCGAGTAAAGTATGTGCTTTCAGTACAGCCTATGATCGATTTCGTGGGGTACGAGTCTATCTGCGCGATGAAAGAATATTACAATCCACTTGTTGAACACGAGCTCGGCTTAAGTACTAGTGGCGTCGGTGGTGTACGCTCCGTCAGGTACTTGTATGCACCTGATACTGTGTTGCTCGAGAACACTTCTGTGTCGCATAGTAAGTCTGAGGGTGTGTTGAGTACCATAAAGCAGTTTATAGCCGAGATCGGATACGAAACGCAGTAAGCCGTGCACAGTTAGGGTACAATCCAATGCCTGATTGAGGAAATCGAGAACGAGTGTTGCTATAGCAACCTGTATACCATGGGAATTCACCCATAAGCAGTGCCGCTAGCCATGTGGTTTGAGTCAGAGATGGATAGAATAGTGTATCCCAAATTGCACTTCGAATCGCGTGATGATAGAGGCAAGTTATTCAACGGGCGAGTTCTGAAGAACACGGTGCCGTCGATTCTATGCCGTATTTCAACTGACACTCAGACTTGATGGGGTTTAGTACAAGCTTAGTCCGAAGTAGTTTAGAATCGATTCGTTAGCTTGTAGTATCCTTGTGTAATAGACTCGTAAGAGGTATTTGGATCTCCCTCAGCAGGTTATACTGGAACTACGGGCAAGATACATGCAGGCAATTTCACTGAACTTGTAGGTGCAAGTTATAAGTCAAGCATGTGGATATAGAAAAATTCTATATAGTTCTGCTATAAAGTCAGCCAAGATTATTGCATCTCAAACTCGTTGCATACTCCACAACGAGTGCTTTCGGTTTCTAATAAATGATGGTAAGTATGCAATAGTAAATAAATGAAGGCAGAAATACCCCATATCCGCATTCTCTTGCACTTCCCCCTTGCGGCGACGCTCAGCTAACTAAACTCTAATAGGGTGCCTGAGAGTGACAAACGCTTGAAAGACAAAAGAGGCGAGACATCCAATATAGTCTATAGACCTATTTATATCATCTTGGTGAAAATGTATATTTATACTATTTCTGGGCCAGTGCCCAAATTACGTGTAAAACCCCTATATTCACAAGCATGGCCCATCACCTCCTAAAGACAAGAAGGCTATACATACAAAGCCTCTCCTAGAGAAAGACATCTCATGATGTATGTAAATACATTGTGCCCTTTGTCATGCTCCCATCTCGAAGAGAAATAACGGTCATCTGAGGACTGACCAGTGACACAAATCAGAGCTCCGTATTATTTTCAGTAGTCCCAGTGAATATTGTATACAAATACGTATTTATTTTACTAATAACGTAGACCCCCACGGCACCTTCCATTTGAAACTGAAACAGGGGTCTCGGCCTCTCGGGGAGGCTATTTATGTAGCATTTCACACTATAAACCCTATACCCTGGGGCTATAGGAGACGGTCAAGTTCAGAACGAACACATATATAATCCGCAATCAGATGGCCATCATGACCTTCACCAAATGACATCGTGACAAGGCATATTTAGAACTCAGCACACACTCGTCTGCCTAGTAGAGAAACTCGATATATCTCAAATGTATAATTCTCGATAAGACTTATAGCATAAAAGATCGCCATATAGAAAGTCTAAAGCCCGTAAGAAAGCGCCGGTCCTCCTTCGCTCAAACAAAGATTTATATAAATACCAGGTTCGAATACACAAATATATACTCTGCTTGTCAAGATTGAAGAACTTGCTCAGCAGCCATGTCGCTATTTCGAAGTATAACCCGCCTATGGACCAATTCACAGTGTAAAGCAGCGCACACGCACAAAGTGGCCTTCTACAGCGCTGTGTGTGACCGACCTGAGGACCACCACACACCTGAGATCGACTTGCGGCTAAATTCGGTATGTAAGTGCAAGGTGTGCACATGAACTCAACAAGCTCTGAATCCCGCTGAGGTAGTATACACTGCCATATCACCTTATTTATCAAGCAACTGTTATGCACAACCACAGTGTTTGGCCACAGGCCAAATTGGGGGGTGGGGCACACGAGTAGTTCCGCTGGTCGTCACTGTGTTCAGAGAGGTCACTCGCTATGTTCCTTAGTGCTTGCACAAAGTACAATCAATCCTCGGTATATTCATAAGAGTGGGAGGACAATAACTAAGCACATACCAGCCGAAGATGGCGAATGTACGAGGTGTATGTTGCCGAATTGCAGGAGTTGGTTCCAGTTTTACACACCAAGTTCATTTTATACTTTACATACGTATTACACTAGTGTATTTCTACTTTGACTGTACATAACACGCGAGAAGCTAGATTTAAATACACTTGCTGTATCGGTCATTATCGATTTATTAAACCATATCATAATGTACCCGTATATACGAGCGCTGCCCCCACAATACAGGGCTATACCGAAATACGTCCATATGTTCTATATGCGTGTTTCATTTGACAACAACTTGTATCAGCTTTACGCTTATCTCAATAGGATTGTACCAAACTTGTAAATATTGATACTTTATCATTGAACCGTATATCCAAGGTGACAATTTTAAGCACGCTTTCAGGTGTAAGTAATGTAGACTGTGACTTTTTATTTAGATATACATGGTTTCGCTTGTCGGGTAGGAATCATTTTCTGCTGGTAAACGGCTCGCATGTGTTCGTTCTGCAGGCACTGAATAGTTTACAATCTGCATGTGCAGATCCGTACAGCTCTGAAAGATCTCGGCGACGGGACAGTCACGCTCTCACTACCCAATGCGGTCGGAGATGGAAACCCAAAAGCTACAGACGACACTTCACGATCACCGGAAAGTGTGGTACAGAGTAATAAAATCGCTATGATAAGCATCAGTAACCCGGGTGGGCGCAATAGCTTAAGTGGCAAGATGATGTGCGAGCTAGCAGACGCAGTGGACGTGTTACAGGCATGGGAAGGAGGCGCGGGGGTTGTTCTGCACGGTAAGGATGTCCCCGGGAAGTGGGGCAGTAGGGTTCTGTAGTGGTAGTTCACCATGTATTTAAATGTGTACGTTTGGTGACTGTGAAGGTAGAACTGAATGTGAATGCGAACTCTTGCAATTGCATATATCTCATTTCTGTGCTTATATTTCATAGATGGGAAATTAGTACTTATTGTAAATGCGATCTATTGGCATAAGTGTATGACGGTAGAAATATCGACTGAACTGATATTGTCTTTGTGCGCCGGGTTGCTTCAATTGAACGAGGTTGTAGGAGACAAGTAGCAAATGAAACTTACTGTCTTCCGAGACAACCGTAAGGGTGTAGTCGTCGTGTCCTCACTCTTCAGTGATATGTGATAGTCTACCTTTGTATTTATGTTCGCTTTTCTGGTTTTCGAACCAAATTTATTACACCTTCGGTAAGGCTAAATACAATATAGTTGTTATATTATATAGCTTAAGTATGCGTATGCCTACAGTTCTTGTCCAAGATATGAGATTCGGATCTGAATCATGTTTACAGCTGCTTGTATATTTCATGTATGAAATTAAGCTTGCGTATATCTCTTCAGACGGACTAGTTTCAATGCGGAAGCCCCAACTGCCGTACTCCCGAGTATCGCACTGTGCAATCCGTTTGGTGGAGTATAATGCAAATATATCTAGCCACAAAGTTTGATTTCCGGTACCTCTACTGCTTTTCCCGCTGTTGTTATTGTCCGTCATATCACAGGAGAAAACGGCTTTTTTTGTGCGGGAGCGGATCTCAAAGTAGCTGCACAGCATATGCTGGGACCGTCTGAGAACGGAATGGGCGAGGAGATGTCTTATTTGATGCACCACACTACGAGCAGACTCAGGTAGGTTTCGGATGCCGAAGTAACGTGATTACCAGGGTTTCGCATTAGTTACCGTTCATGTGGTACCAAAATCCAGGTAATGCCGGTGTGATTCAGTTCGAGAACGCGAACCATTCTCTTTCATGCGTAGCGCTGTGATTAGCAATCAGTACCTGTATGCTCTCGTGTTTTGGTTTTAGGCCATCGAGCCAATAGTTTGTCTGTATAAAAGGGGCTAACGCTGAGTATATAGATCTCAAGCGGTGTGCTCTTTTGGGGGTTTAATGGCGTAGTTATACCAATACGTTCTTAAGTAGGAGCATGTGCGTATGTGTAATGGTATATTGATTCAGATATGTATCGTCTATGGGGACTTTGACGAACATTCAAGTTCTTATATCATATACTGGGCACTCGTTCATAACATTGGCAAAATTTCGGAACTTGCAGTCGTTATCGTATTGCTTTTGATCTGCATAGCATTTCGAGGTATGCACTTGTTCTATGTTGTTTCGTTTTGTGCAGTCTGTGTATAGGTAGGAGTGCGTACATGTATCGCTGTGCTCATGTGGAATGGTTGCAACACACGCGTGCTACTGGTGGCTGAATAATGCAATGTTGTATCAAGGCACACTCAGTTATCTTCATCATAAGTTTTTCTGTAGCTGTACCTGTTTAGGTTGGCAGCTATGTGTTGTAAAATAGTATTGGCTATGTATCTGTATTTGTATATATTTCTTGTCTCACAAGTGTACATCATTGTCATCCATTGACTGGAGCATGAATGGTATTCAGGGCGATACTTTATGTAGATATATATTGAATTTCGTCAGCTATCATCCCGTATACTAAACAATATTGCATCAGTTTCTGATACAATCATCAATCTCTTCTCGCACACAGAGCTTTGCCTCTCATATCTGTGGCAGCCATTGAAGGGGCGGCCGTTGGCGGAGGTGCTGAGCTAGCTACTGCTTGTGACTTCCGAGTGATGGCTAAGGACAGCTACATTCGCTTTGTGCATGCCTTACTGTCGGTGGTACCTGGGTGGGGAGGCGGCACGCGCCTGACGAAGATTGTGGGCCGGAGGGATGCGCTGCGTATCGTGTGCACGGCTGATAAGGTGGGTATTCGTATTGTGTGCGTTGTATGCAGGACTGTTGTTTTGATTAAGAGAACATAATATTGTGTTTTGATTTATAGACGATCCGCTCATATCGGACATCGATGGTTGAACGCTCAAGCGAGTTCTGCAATTTTCTTGTGATGCAAGCACAATTGGGTCATCGTAACTGCATTGGCCTATGAATAAGGAGGACTGATGGCTGTTGCAAGTTTATGTGTTGGGAGTGCGCTTGTGCTTCTACGATGTTAGATCTCAATATCAAAGTTGGCTTAGGATTTCTCTAGCGGCAAGCGTTGCTATCAGCGGTCAGAATATTGCATGTGCTTGCTAGTATAGTGTGTACTATCATGTGCACCTCGGACTCTTACATTGCTGAATAAACTTCTCGCTGCACGTGATACCACATAAGTCTCATTTTGATATGAAGCGAACCAGCTGCAACGTTATCTGTTTTTACAATCGGTTCGAGAGTGCTCTTTTTCTCAAACATTTCCCAGGCATTTGCAATATTGTGTAATGACGTTCTCTCATGTAAAGTATCCTTTGATGACAGATACACGCGGACCAAGCTATGGCCTTTGGACTGTGTGACGAAGTAGTGGAAACGAGCACAGACACAGTAAAAGTGGCAACCGGCTTCCTGCAAAAACTCACCGCTAATAGCACAGCAGCGACACGAGCGCTTAAAACTGTGGTGAGTCAAGCGGATGATGATGCATACAGGCCGTCGCTGAATCACGAGCACGATGTTTTCTCGCGCATGTGGGGAAATAAAGCTAGCGCGGAACAGATCGGCAAAGGTGGTGCTAGTGCCAGGAAAGGGGATTAAATCATACAGCACCCATGCTCTTACGGCCTTATCGGGCTTTGAACTGTGTGCGCATTGCTAATCTCACAGCCTATATCCTGAGACTTATCAAACGTAGCCTATATCCTGAAACTTATCAAACGTATTGATTTCGCTGGCTGCCGTTTTCAGAATCTCACAACTTGAGGCGTTAAATGCCCGATTGATGTTGTACACCATCTCCGCTCATCAATTACATGGACTATAAAACGCTGTGGCGACAGAAAACGGTCTATAGAGCAAGACGCCAGCCTCATGTGGCTGACAAGAATACTTCCGCCATGGTAGTGTACCAGTGTACCATGCGATAGTCACTCACGGCTACTTCTTATGCAGTGCAAACGTACCATAATATTTGGGACCCGATACAAACAATTTTACGGAATCATACGACTCCATATTTTGAACGTTTCGAATTCGAACAATTATATAGAATGTAGCCCAGTTACTACTGAATGTCGTCCACAGGGTCCGACGACATCTTCAAAGTAGTCTGATTAAATGCGAAGCATAAAAGTTTACTAGTATAAAATTCATCGAGTATAACATTTAGGTTATTTGTCGAATGATTCAATATAGACAACAGTCGGGATAGATTCAAATTTGCAAAATAATTCTGATTGAGGATTAATTTATTGTATCCTAGATGCGTGTAGTGATAAAAAATTTAAAACATAGATTCAGTAGTGGCGACGGCTGTGTCAATAACACCCTCAGTGCATGTCTTCTGGGCAGCAGCACCTGTCTGTTCTGCACAAGCAAGAAAAGGCTTGAGGACAACAGCGTCAAATTGGTCAACCATGTCGGCTGCGGCGGGTAGCATAGTCTTTGCCTTTGTGATGAGACCTTTCATGCAGGTTACAAGCTCGGCATCAGTGGGAGTGGCCAGGCACACAGGGATGTCAGCGTTAGCGGCATCATTGACGCTCTGGGCGATGGTGGCCATATCAGCCATACCAATCATACCCAGCATAGAGCCATATGTGCTCCATAGGTTGTTCACCTCATCAAGAGTGACTTGAATTCCACAGTGGTCGAATTGAGATTTACCGTAGCAGACATTCAAGCTGGTCTTGAACTCAGTGACAGCAGGGTCTACAACCATAGCAATCATAATTGGGTCTATGTCCAAACGGCTGGCTGGCACAAGCATGCCAATAGCTGCCTTGAATGCACTATCAATAGTACCCTCCACACACACACACTTGTCTGTCGGCAGCCTGGGCACACGCAACAAGGGGTTCAAACAGTTGAGAAACAACTCCATCAATTATAGGGCCGGCGGTAGAAAAGCTGCCGCGGCCTGTGCAACTAAAGCGGTGTTACAAGCAATAGCCTCGGTATCAGTGGCCTTAGCAACACAAACGGGCACACCAGTGTTGACTGCGTCAAGTCCGGATTGTACGGTTGAGGCCATATCAGCCATACCAACCATACCCAACATAGAACCGTACTGGGCTCAAGCAGCATTGATCTCGCCAAGGGCGACCTTCTCGGTACATCTGATAAGTGATGAGGCATCGGCGTAGCATCCGTTTAAAACTAAGTGCTCCTTGAAAGTGGCAACAATGGGGTCAGCAACCATATGTGCCATGTTAGCATCGATTGCTAGACGATCTTGCGGAACAGATGCGGCGTTGGCGACAACGGCGACCAAGGCAATAGCGGTGATAGCTTGCATTTTGGATATGTGATTATTGATAAGAAAATAAGGTAATTGTTTTGAACTTCCTCGATCACCTCTTGCCGTTTGTAAATCCATTATCATCTCAAAAACGTATTCGTGCCTGAGGATGCTCTATAACGTAGAATATAGATATCGTCATCCAAGAGTATAGCATGCCCACCTACAATGGTCAATGTAGGGCTATCTGGTGGGTTTGAGAAAATAGCGAGCGTACTATTCACTATTCACGATTCTGAAGTATTTTATATATAAAATACGTACTAAATTTCCAGAGCACAAGTACACCTGTGCACGACCCCTGGCGCCTTCTGGAATCTGGGCTTCTAGCCTCTATGCGCTATGGCTCTATCATAAACAGACAGATGCTGCTACCCAGAAGACTTGCGCTGAGGGTGTTATTGACACCGCCGTCGCCACCTCTGAATCACTGCTTTAAATATTAAATTAACACACTTACCTGTAATGAAACAGTCGAATGTCAATTGAATATAGTCTCGACATATTCAATTCATATCAACCTAATTCAACAATCTTATTTCAAAGCAATCATACTGAAAGATAGAAGTTGTCGTGATTGAATAAAAGCGTACCTTTACACAAAGCGAATAGGACATATGATGCTACGTAAGATACTTCAGGGGTTATTGTCCTTGTGCGAGGTGATGTTGTTGGATGCTCGAAAACGGACAGTAAAATTGATTTTGACACACTTCCACTGTTCATAACTGCACAAGCTGGTTAACTGTTCGCAGTCCTTGCTGGAACTAAAAATTGTGTGACATTATCCAGGGGGCACATACAAATACTTATTTTACACATGCGAAATCAAATTGTAGCACTATTTTATAAATTGTATAGCGTAAGTCGTTCAAAAACTCAAATAGGCTGTACACATACACATGTGTGCCCACTGTAACAGTGTAGTGCCGGTACTACGACAATTGAGTTTGAAGCAGAAGCAGAAGTCATATCTGTACAGTGCGCGAGTCTGCATATCTATGTTTTCATGTATTGCTCGCCAAATCCGATTCCACGAATACAAGCTGAATATTAACGCGCCTCATTGCATAATTTCGAAGCCTATCCATATTCGACCCAAAATGAGCCCAAACACTCAAAAGTACACCCACTTCAGTCATGGTATCCGGTTCAATTTTGCAGATCCAGAATTGTCAAATATATTCTCGATCACACAATAATGAGCACCAGCTACCAGCCTACTCCTGGTAATGTATAATATCCTACGCTCGCCATAACCTGTCGATGAAGCAATTGTATCTCCGAATACCCAGCCATCATTTTAAAATCCAGTACAGTACACAGAATAGAGCAGTGCATATCCCAACTATTCTGCATATGCTCATTCCACTCCCGCTGCTTACAAGCTCAGTGAGCTTTTCCATAGCTCCACCGAGTACTCTTCCAGATTCTCCAAATTTGTCTTGAAGACTATCAAGAAAACTATTATGTTCCTGAACGTCGCTGTGAATGCCACGAGTGAGGTTCTTGAGAGCTCCAACCTATAAATGGATGATAGTTACAGTTCAAAGTCAATCAAATGTCGGACAACGTGACATAGTCAGACCCAGGTATCCTTGCAATACGATAAAGCGTAGAGTAAAGTCACAGTACAATAGTCTTGACAGTCAAGCCTATACCTGCCATCTTCGGTGAAGTGCCGAAAAAAAAAGGAACCATGAATGCACAATAACGCACGAACACCTGACTTCAAAGAAAGGAAAAATAATTATACATCAACTCTGACGTAGTTAACCACAAGCACATGTCTCTGAACAGTCAAGGTTGTGCGGAATCAATAAAAATCAATTCTCTCGTGAAAACGATAAAAGCGAGCACGTGTAGAGAGAATACATGTAGAGAGAATACGCCACTAGCACCACTAGGAAATACCATATACACGCGAATATATCATAATAATTATACCAAACCGAAAAACATTGTTACAATTCACGTATACATCAGACAGACATCAGACAGT